TTTCTGTCTGAATTTGATGACTCCAGATACCTCGTGTTAGTGAAATCATACAGTATTTGTCTCTCTGTGACTGGCTTCTTTCTTTCCTTTTTTTTTTTCTTAAGATTTTATTTGTTTATTTGAGAGAGAGAGAAAGCGCTTCGGGGGAGGGGCAGAGGGGGAGAGAGAAGGAGAGGGAGAGAGAATCTCCAGCAGACTCCCTGCTGAGCACAGAGCTTGATGCAGGCTGATCTCACAACCCTGAGATCCTGACCAGAGCTGAAACCAAGAATCCGATGCTTAACAGACTGAACCAGCAGGCTCCACCTCCCCGCCCCCGCCCGCCCCGCCTTTTAAAATTTCTGTTGTTTTTATTTATTTATTATTATTGTTATTTTTATTTAGTAAGCTCTATGCCCAATGTGGGGCTTGAACTCACGACCCTGGTGACTAGCTTCTTTCACTTAGCATAATGTCCTCAAGGTTCATCTATGTCGTAGCATGTGTCAGAATTTCCTTCTTTTTAAGGCTTTTCATTGCATATACAGAGTACATTTTACTTATCCATTCATCCAACAAGGGACGCTTGGGTTGCTTCCATGTTTTAGCTATTGTGAGTAATATTGTTATGAACACAGTTGTACAAAGATCTCTTTGAGAACCTGCTTTCAATTCTTTGGGGTATATACCCAGAAGTGGAATTACTGGATCATATGTAGTTATATTCTTAATTTTTTGAGGAACTACCATACTGTTTTCCACAGCAGCTGCACCATTTTACATTCCCACCCACAGTGCATAAGGGCCCTGATTTCTCTATATCCTTGTTAACAATTGTTCTTTTCTTCCTTTTTTTTAATGATAGCCATCCTAATGGGTGTTACAGTTATCTTTTGATGTGTGCCAGGGATAGCCCTCTACATGCCCACTGACCTTCTCCTAAATCCCTCTTTCCTTGGTTTCTGGGATATCACTATCTTCAACTTTTCTTCCTACCTTACCCCTACTCCTTCTGAGTCTCCCTCTCCTCTCCCCAACCTCTGAATGTTGGAGTTCCTCAGTTCATGGTCCCAGGCTCTCACCCCTCTCATCTCCCCCTCTCTAATGATCTCATTCACTGCCAAGATTTTATATATTAATTCATTAATTCTTCTTAATCAGCTTTATTGAGGAGTAATTTACACATAGTAACTCTGCCTTCCTTTTTTTTTTTTTTTTAAGATCTTATTTGTTTATTCTGAGAGAGAGAGAGCAAGCAGGGGGAGGGACAGAGGCAGAGGGAGAGGATCACAAGCAGACTCCACGCCCAGCGTGGAACCTGACGCAGAGCTCCTTCTCATGACCCTGGGATCATGACCTGCGACAAAATCAGAAGTCGGACGCTTAACTGACTGAGCCACCCAGGCGCCCCGTAATCCATCATTTTTAAGAGCACAGCTTGATAAAGTTTGACACACGTGTGTAGTCATGTAATTACCACCACAATAAAGGTACAAAACATTTCCATCACTCCAAACTGTTCCCTTTCCACTCAATCTTCATTGCCCACCCCCAGATCCTGGCAGCCACTGATCTGATTTCTCTCCTTATGGTTTTGCTTTTTTTGTTTTGTTTTGTTTAAGATTTTATTTATTTGTCAGAGAGAGAGTACAAGCTGAGGAAGAAGCAGGCTCCCCACTGAGCAGGGAGCCCGATGTGGGACTCGATCTCAGGACCCTGAGATCATGACCTGAGCCGAAGGCAGATGCTTAACCGACAGCCACACCGGTGTCCCATGGTTTGGCCTTTTCTGGACATTCACGTAAGTGGGATCAAATAATATGTAGACTTTTGTGTCAGGCTCCTTTCACATAGCATAATATTCTTGAGATTTATCCATTTTGTTGCATATATCAGTAATTCATTCCTTTCAATTGCTAAATAAAATTCCATCATATGGATGTGCAGCAGTTGGTTTCTCCATTCATCAGTTGAAGGATATTTGAGTTGTTTCCTGTTTCTGGTAATTATGAAGAAAGTTGCTATGCAAATCCATGTACAAGTATTAGTATGGACAGAGGTTTTCATTTCTTTTGGGTAAATACCTGTGAGTGTAACCACTGGGTCATATGGTAAGTACACTTTATAAGAAACTACCAAACTGTTTAGTAATTTCTGACTGGAAAAAAATATATTTACTAACTTGTAAAATTTTTACAAAAATATTGTTAAACAGAAAAACAAATGTATTAAATTATGGATTTATTTCATTTCCTTCCTTTTCACTGAGGCAAACTTACATATATCAAAATACAGCTTGATTAATTTACACATATATAAATGTATATATGTAAGTATAACTCCCATCAAGATAGAGAATATTAACAGCATCCCAAGGAGGCCACCTTGTGCCCTTTCCCAATCAGCACCCCTCAGTGTAAGTACTATTCTGACTTCTATCACTTAGTTCTGCCTGGTTTTGAACTTCACACAAAAGGAATCACACAGTATGCGCTCCTATGTCTGGCTTCTTTTATTCAGTATAATACCTCTGAGATTCATTCACATTATTTTGCATAGGAGTAGTTTGTTGGTTTTCACTGATATCTAGTATTCTATTTTATAAATATATTTATAACCATGGTATATATGTATGTATATATGTATATTCATTCTTTTGTTGGATACACATGCATTCATTTATCTTGGATACATGTCTGAGAGTGATTGCTTATGTGAGTGGGTCAAGGTAGGTAGATACATGCTTAGCTTTTGTAAATATTGCCAAGCAGTCTTCCAATGTAGCGGCATCAATTAAAGCTCCCACCAGCACCATATAAGAGTTCTATTTGTTGCATGTCTTCGGTAACACTTAATGTTATCCATCCTTGTACACTCCCATCACTTTAAATACCATCTCTGTGTGAAGATCTTCCCTTGATCTCTATCTCTGACCTAATGCTCTCCCCACCACGCAAATGGCGTATGCAGTTGTCAGTATGACATTTCCCCTTAGACATCTTGTGGGCATCTCCAAGATAACAGGTCAATACAAAGCTCTTAAGTCCTCCTTCCTTGCAAAAGGGTTCCTTCCTCTGATTTCCTCATCCTCATAAGAAGCATCACGATCTTCTCAGCTGCTCCAGCTAAAAACCTGGATTTCTCCCTCTCCCTCACTTCCACATCCAATCCTTCAGTGAAGCTGCTGTATTCTATTTCTATACTATATCCAGAGTCTGTCCACTCCTTCCCATCTTCACCACCGCTCCCCTAATGCAAACCACCATCATTCTTGACTGCATGACTGCTCAGCAGCCAGAGGGAGCTTTCTAAAAAGTAAACCAATCACATCATCTCCTTGCTTAATGCCTTCCTGTGACTCCCTAGTGCTCTGTCATGAAATCTAACTTCTCACCCTGGCCTGAAATGCTGAGAATGATCTGGCCCCTGCCCATCTCTCTGACCTCTCTTCTTCCAGTAGGGGACTGACCACATTCCAGCCATTGCCTTTTCCTAAATACGTCAGGCTTGTTCCCACCTCAGGACCACTGCCCTTGCTGTTTCCTCTGTCTGATAAGCTCTTCCCTCAAATCTTTGCCCAGCTGTCTCCTTCTCATCTGTTCAAGTCTTAACCCAAACGTCTCTCCTCAAAAAGGCCTTCTCTGACCATCTTAAAGTTGCCCCTCTATATGCCAGGCATTCTCTATTCCCTCACCCCCTTTTATGTTTCTGTATAGATCTTCTTGTTTTCCTTACATAATCACTTACTTCCTTAATGCTCATATCCTCTACTGGAATATAAATCTCCAAAGGTCAGGGGCTGTGTTCCTACTATCGAGAACTGCACTGTCCACTGTGGTAGCCACCAGCCATAGGTAGCTATTTAAATTTAAATAAAAGTAAATAGAACTAAGAATTCAGTTCCTCAGGTACACTAGTCATATTTCAAGTGCTCAATAGCCACCTGTGGCTAGTAGCTACCATATTGGATAGTGCAGACAAAGAAAATTTCCAGCATTGAAGAACGTTCTGTTGGACAGCACTGCTCTAGAACCCAGCTAGGTAGTAAGTGTGCTATAAAGGTATTTTTAATCTTCATCTTATGGGTGAGAAAAACATAGGCCAGAGAGATTGCGTTATTAACCCAAGGTCACACAGCCGGGAGGCAGCCTAGCAGGGATTTGAACCCAGGATTGTTTTGCTCCAAAGCACATGCTACTCCCTTTCTTAAGATCCAGCAGCCTCCTGGCTATTTAGAGAGGCACAGGGCTCTCCTGTACTCTTACACATTCTCCAAGGCTGAGCTTGTACCTAACTGAAGAAGTGTGGGGAGCTTCGTGTAAGGATTGTTGCCCAAGGCACTGAGGGATCCAGGGTCAGTCCTGACTCCATCTCGGATCCACCAGCTGTTCCACCCTTACGAAGTCTCTGCCTCTCTCGGACTCAACTGCATCTCTGTAAAATGAAATAACCGACCCTGTGGTCTGAGGGGCAGAGATGGCAGGCAGGGGCCCTGATGACTGGGTACACTCTTCAGATCCGGCCTGACTCTGAGGCAGGCCAGGCTGAGGAGTGGGTTGGGGGGTGGAAGTGCTTTGGTTGGCTTGACCTACAGTAGCAGCTCCTGCTTCTTGAACGCCTACAGATGAAAACGCTGAGGTTCAGAGAGGTAAAGTAACTCGGCCCAGGCTACAGAGCCCGGGAACCGGCAGAATTGGGATTCGAAGCTGAGACTCTCCGATCCCATGCGCGTGCCACGCAATCACGGGCGGGACCCACAGGAATCACAGGGAGGCGGTTACCGCCGAAAGGTAGTGAGCTCCCCGTCTCTGGGGGGTGTGCAAGTCGGTGGCGGGCCACGCACGGAGCAGTGGCTGGTGCCCGGGCCGAGACCGCAGAGCCTCTCGCAGGCCCCCTTCCGCCTCCCGCGGCGGCCTCGGCCGAGGCGCGAGCGCGGCACCACCCGGGCGGGGCGGGGGCTGCTATTTCTGTCCGGTGAGCGCAGCCCGCGCCGCGAGGCGGGGGAGGGGGCGCTCGCGCCGCCATATTCGCTCCCGCCGGCCAGCCCCGCGGCGCGCAGCCACCATGAGCACCGCCGCCTTCCACATCTCCAGCCTCCTGGAGAAGATGACGTCCAGCGACAAGGACTTCAGGTGCGCCCCGCTGCCGGCCCCCGCCTCTACGCCTCCCATTGAAACCCCGGCCTTCTTCGCCTCCCGCCGCGCCGGCCCATCCCCCACCAAAGTGCAGCCCCTGCCCCTCGGCCCGCGTTAAGCTCCACCCCTCCCGTGACCCCCGCCCCTGCCGCTCCAGCTCCCCTGCTCGCCGCGCCGCAGCCCTGCGCTCTCTACAGTCCCTGCTTGTCTCCCACCGTGCGCGCGTCGGCCCCTGCCGCGGTCCGCTCGTCGAAACCCAGCTCCTCCCCTCGGCACCCTTCCTCTGCCTTCTCTCTCCTCTGTGCCCAGCCCTCATCTCTCCCCGCAGCCGATGCGCCTAGGCCTCCCATCTGAACTCGTGGTGAAGCCCTCGGCTCCTCCTTGGGGATCCCGGCGCCTGCCTCTTCTTCCCCGCATTGGAACCCAGCCCCTTCCCGGGCCCCCAACCCCGGGACCGACTTTTCCACAGCTACCCTCTGCACCCTCAGTTCCGCCCTCTTCGCCTCAGAGTCGGCCCCCCGTTCTTCCCCCGCCCCGGCCGCCTGCCTGCGCTTCGGGGGGGCACCTTCTCCCCTCCCCGCCATTCCCAGGTTTGCTCTGACACAGCCTGAAGGAGGGGGCTGGGCTGAGTGTCTTGGCAAGCACAGGTAGGCGGTGGTTGGGGTAGGGGCTTTTAGCTTTTGAGTGCCACTCCCCTTCTCTTTGTTCCCCTTTCGCCGAACATCACTGAGCCACACCGGAGCAGAGCTGGAAAGAATGGAGGAAACGTCTCTTCCAATCCCGTCTTCCTCAGGGGGAAACTGAGGCCCCCCGGGGGATGAAGGGATTGGCTCTGGTCACACAGCCGGTTCTGGACCCTGGGAGCTGAAAGGAGGCCACAGAGACCAACATAGTCCACTTAGTGAACATTCTGTCACGTTATCCCCAGTTTACAGTTAGGGAAACAAGCTCAGGGTCACGAAGGGGACAGTGGAAGTCACAGAGCTATGAAGTGGAGGACATGGGGTCCAAATGCAGGTCAGTCTTAACACGGGCTGAGATCTTAGCGAGGCCGTCTGATCCAGCCCTCTGACGGGTGAGGAGATTGAGGCCCCACCTCTCCTGGTCTGATTCCTGCCTTCTGACACCCACTCCTCAGCACCCCTCAAGAGCCTCTAGTAGAGCTTTAGAACCACAGTGCTGGGTTCAGATCCTGCCCCCAACCACTTACTGGCTGTGTGACTGTGGGCTTCTGAGCCTCAACTTCTGTTTCCATAAGATGGGATAATAATAGAATCCGCCTCAGAGAGTTGGTATGAGTTTTTGAAAAGAGTTAATACATGGGCAGTGCTTAGATTGGTGGCTGGAACCAGATAGGTGCTTAATAAATTGACGCTTATGATTCCGTGCACATCAGAAATCTGCCATGCCCTCTCCCCACTCTTTACTTGCAATCCCTCCCCTCCCTTTCATTTCTTCCCTTCACCTGGCTAGCTCCTACTCATTTGTCACCTCTGTGGGATGCCTCCCGACACCCAGGCAGGGTTGGGCACCTCCCCTGGGCTCCCACAGCACCTGTCCCGCCCTATGTTTCTACTGCATCACTTCTAGCCCCGAGATACTCAAAACCCCTGCACTGGAACTGTGTGCTTCCTTTTTGCATCCCAGAGCCTGTTCTGGGTACGCAGAAGGTGCTCCGTGAATGTTTTCTGGGTGCCAGGCTCCCTGCTGTGCTGTCCAGTGCAGTCTCATTCAGTCTACCCAGGCAGTCTAGAACAGTCCTTCCTGTTCTCCAGAGGTTCAGAGAGGTGAAGTGACTTGCCCATAGCCGGCTAGTGGCTAAGGGGATTTGCACCCCTGTCTCTTGGGCCCTGGGTCCAGTCTCCAGGAGAGGGGGTTGGCCCTGCCAACTAGAGCCTGAGAAGCCCTTTCAGCCTGCTCTTCCTGAGAACACTTAAAACCATCCCAAGCATATGAGAAAGGTGTCTATTTTTAAAGTCCAAATACCGGGAAGGCTGGGTCCGGTGACCAACTGTCCAGGTGCCCATGTGGCCGAGTGTTTCAGCTGAGTTGTCTCTCTGGAATGAAACTGAAACTGTGCCCTCTGGCTTCTGGAGGCAGGTGGTAACTGCAAGTGGGGGTCCCAGGCAGGGTCAAGGAAGCCATTGATCCCTATTGTCCCCTTGTGGGCAGGAGGCTGCTCAGTTCTCACTCAGACTCCAGCAGCCAGATGGATAAACTGGGGGGTCTTGCAGGAATTCCTAAATCATTTTTTGAAAACAGTAGTAATTGTTGAGGAGCCAGGAGACCTGACTGGTGTGCTGTCTCCTCCCAACTTGCTGTGTGACCTTGGGCGGATCGTGCAGCCCCTCCGAGCCTGGTTTCCTCATCTGACTCATGCTGAAAGCTGGTTGTCCTGTTGAAATCTCCCAAAGATGTTATGAGGTGAGGCAAAGAAAATTCTCACTTCGTAGGTGGAAAACTGAGACTCAGGAGTCAGTTACCCAAGGTCACCTCGTTGATAAGTGGCAAGACCTATGTATTTACTTAAAGCCAAACTTCAGGGGCGCCTGCATGGCTTTGTCGATTGAGCATCTGACTCTTGATTCCAGCTCAGGTCATGATCTCAAGGGTTGTGGGATAGAGCCCTGTGCCAGGTTCTGTGTTTGGCTTGGAGTCCACTTGGGATTCTCTTTCCCTCTCCTTGTGTCCCTCCCTCACACATATACTCTCTCTAAAATAAATAAATCTTTAAAAAAAAAGGCAAACTTCAGTGCGCAAACTCTTATCTACCAAATTATATGCTTTGCCATACATCCCCCACTGCCACCACCACGTACATATGCACAATACAGCTTTCTTTCTCTGAAAGCTGGTTATTTGCAGGAAATCGGGGGTGTCTGAAATGCTGAGGCATATCTCAGAAGAGTTGGTTTCTGAGTTTGGGTTCCCACACAGCTGCTTGGCTGTTAGGGGCTGGCTCTTTCCCTGCCTCCCCTCCTGCCCTCACCATACTTCCCAGGCCTTCTCTAGACCTGTTCTTTGCTGGGTCTGGAGTCCCAGGGATGAACTTGATGGACCCCCGTGAGTTCATATTCTAATGGGGAGACACACTGGTAACCAAGCTTGCAATGCAGTTTGAAGAGCGCTCTGATTAAGAATGCAGAGTGCTCTGAGAGAATCCTATCCAGGGGAACCAAGTGTGATTAGGGAGTGTGGGTTGGGGATAGGGCATGGGGGTCAGAGGAGTCATTTCTGAGGCTAGGACATTTGAGCTGGATCCTTGACAATTGAATAGGAGTTCAACAGAGAAGAAAGAGGGGGCTAGGAGGCTCATCTTGGGCAAAGGAACACATTCCTTCAGTTGCCAGGCTGAGCTGGGTCTCTGTGAACTGCAGCAGAAACACAGGTTAGAGACCCTGCCTACCATCTCAGAATGTCCCCTCAGCTAGGCAGACCTAGGAGTGTGCGTGCCTACCCCAGGCCTTGGCCTGGCTCAGATGCAAAGCTCCTTTAGCTTCCCTTGGCTGCTTCTCCTGCAATGACCCGGCCCAGAGGTGTGCACAGTCAGCCCTGCCACTCCCTCCCGGCCTCCAGCCCAGCCTCCTTCCTTCTCTCAGCAGCTTGAGGCTAATCCCAGCTGTTAAAAATAAGCAGCAGTGACATCGACAAGTGCCCTCCTGGTAACAGGGTGCTGTGGGTCTCCCCATGACATCAAGCAGCAGGTCTGAACCTGCAGAGATGAGGCTGGGACCCTGACAGGAGGCTTGGGAGGAGGGGTAGGGCTCTTGCTGGTAGAGCAAGCTCAAGCCTAAAACAAGGCTGGTGTGAGGAGGCAGGGTGGTCTGGTGGGTCAGCAAAAGCTGGAGGCTTTCTCTGGGGCTGCCACTCTCTGGCCCTGAATTTGCCTCATCTCTCCTTGCTGCTCTGGCCTTCCCCTCCAGTGTCTCCTCACAAGTGCCTTCAAGACCCAGTGAACGGGTACAGTGGGCCTGGTGGGAACCTGGTCAACTGGAGATAGTGTCCCACCTAATGAGGACAGCCATGCCTTGACCAGCCAGTTATTGTCACCAGGGGATGTTGGCCCAGTTGTATTCAAAGACTCTATTTTCGGGGCGCCTGTGTGGCTCAGTTGGTTAAGCGTCTGCCTTCAGCTCATGTCATGATCCTGAGGTCCTGGAATCGAGCCCCATGTAGGGCTTACTGCTCAGCGGGGAGTCTGCTTCTCCCTCTGCCCCTCGCCCCTGCTTATGCTCTCTCTCTCAAATAAATAAATAAAATCTTAAAAAAAACCAAGACTGTTTTCAAGAGAATCTGGTAATTACAACTTTTCATCAACTCCCCCAGTTTCTAAATGTTGTTAAGTTTAATTTTTGAAAAACATCTGCAAGGAGGACACAGCTGAGGGCTGCCAGTTTAAGGCCACTGTGCCCTTTTAATCTCTGCAGGAACCATGATGCTCCTGCAGCTCTAGCTCATGGCCTTCCAGCTCAGACTCCCACTGCAGTTCTAATGCCCCGGGACACGGTATCAGGCCACATGGATCTGCCTACCTGCCACCCTGGGGTGGAGCCGTGGTTGGGGACTGGCCAGCTATTGACATCAGTGTCTAAGATATGCTTGCAGCCCATCAGCATGGCCTAGGGCAGGAGTTCTCAGAGTGTGGTCCCTGCCCCTCAGGGACTTGTTAGAAATAAAGATTCCTGGGGCGCCTGGGTGGCTCAGACCGTTAAGGGTCTGCCTTTGGCTCAGGTCATGATACCAGGGTCCTGGGATTGAGCGCCCTGCCTCGGGCTCCCTGCTCAGCGGGCAGCCTGCTTCTCCCTCTCCCTCTGCTTGCGCTCTCTCTCTCAAATAAAATCTTAAAAAAAAAAAAAGATGCAAATTCTTGGACTCCAGGTCAGACCTGATTCCAGAAACCTTGGGGGTGGGGCCCACCAGTGTCTAACAGGCCCTGCAGGTGATTCTGATGCCAGCTACAGTTTGAGAACCACTGGTCTAAAGGCGGGGGCTTAGTGGATTCTCTGAGGCGGAGGTGGGCAGGGCTAGCCCCACTCCACCCGTCTGGTAGAGAGGTTTCTGTTCGACCTTCTAGCATGAATGAGGTGAATGACGTAACATGCCATTAAAATAACAGCGGTGCTACTTACTGAGTGCTCACTGTGTGCTCAGTGCATCACATACATTATTTCATTTTAACTCTCATATAACCCCACAAGGCAGGTGCTGTTCTTATCCCCATTTTTCTGACAGGTAAAGTAGGGCTCAGAGAGGTGAAGTGACTTGTCCAAGTTTGCATTTACATGAGTGGTAAAAGCAGGAGCCACCAAACTCAAAGCGCTCAGCATTTAGCCAGCGTGCCATACCACTCCTAGTCTGCCACGATGTGGCAGTTGGTATCTCACCCATTGGTCTCCTGGTGGTGGCCCGACCGAGCCTCCAGCCCAGATAATCCACTTGCCCTTGAATCTTTGTATTGAGGTCTGCTTCTGGGGGAACTCTAAGAAACTTCCCAGAACACTGGGGCCCAGGAGCTGCTCAGTAGTCCTCCTCTGCTCTCCTGCCCAGGTTCATGGCCACCAGTGACCTGATGTTGGAGCTGCAGAAGGACTCCATCCAGCTGGACGAGGACAGTGAGCGCAAGGTGGTGAAGATGCTGCTCAGGCTGCTGGAGGACAAGAACGGTGAGGTGCAGAACCTGGCCGTCAAGTGGTGAGTGTTGGCCTTGGTGGGGACAGGGCAAGGCCAGGTGTGAGAGAGCCCCACGGGCCCCTGCCCCTTTGGGGTACAGTCTCTGAGAGAGTAGTTGCTGTGAGCACCCCCCCTCAAACCCCAGGGGATTTGGACAGTGCCTTGGTCTGGATTCCCCCAGAAATAGACCCAGTGACAGGGATTCAAGTGTGAGTTTATTTGGGAAGTGATCCCAGAAAACTCTAGTAGGGGAATAGGGAAGTGAGGTAGGGAAGGAAGAAAGCCAATAACGTGTGGAAGATCAAGGAAGTTACTTCTGTGGGCAAATGGAGCTTAACCCTACTGGGGGCCTTTGGGACACAGTGTAGGACATGCCCTGGGGAGTGTTCCACGTGTGGACTGTCAGTCTGGTTGAGTGCTGCTCCCGGGGTAGTGGGTAGCGTGGAGGGTTGACCCCGCCAGCCAGAGAAAGCCCTCAGGCGCAGATGCAGGTACTGGCAGCTGAAAGGTCATGCTGGCATGCAAAAGGAGTGAGGGCTGAAGGGTCAGGGGGGCCCCAAAAGCCTTTGCCCTAGGCACCCTGAGGTTGCAGTCCTGAGACCTTGGCCAGTTACCTTTAGAGCTAAAAAAACAAGATGAGGTATGTGCAGGGCACACGTGTGTGTGGGTGGGTGGAGGACTGAGGAATGGCAGGGGTCCACAGTCAACAGAGAATTGGGGCATTGCCTGTGGAACAGCACTCTGTGAGCTGGGCCCAGGCATTCTGGGCCGTCTTAATGAATTTCAGCTTGATCCCAAGAGCAGAGGGAATCCAGTAGTTTTATGCAGGAACATGACATGGTCATGTTTGTAGTCTGGAAGCAGCTCTCTGGCCATGCGGTAGAGATAGGGTGGATGGTGGTTTCCCACCAGCAGAACCAATAGTACGGTAGTGTGTGTTCCAGTATGTGAATGCTCAGGCACCTTGACTGAAGGGATAATAAAGTCATTATTTCTCATGAAACCTGCACTAAATGTAGGCTCACTTGTGGGTGCCATGGTACTTAGCAGGTAGAAGCAGGTATGGATGTTGAGGACTCAGCTCCCACAAGCAGCACTGTGGTGCTGATTTTCTCCATTAGTGGTGAGATTTTCTGAAATGGCCAACATCTCCTGGTAGTTTTCCGGAAAACAAAGTACAGTCTTCCTTCAATTTACCGGATAGTTATATTCTTGGGAAATTTAGAGCCTATTAAAATAGTATAAAAAGTGCTTTGTGTTTATATGTAAATTGAAATTAGATTTTGGACTCAGATAATTATGGAAAGGTTTTTTTCCTATGCAAATGCCCAGTGGGGTGTTAGAAACTCCAGCAAGACATTGAACATGTTTTGTTTTACAATATTGCCTTTCCCAGCCACGTGTACTACCCCCCGCCCCCAAATAAAAGCCAGAAGTGACATCTCATTAGTTATGACCAAAAAAGGCCCCCATAAATTTCCAGAACTCTCCTGAGGGCACTACACCCCAATCAGAACCTATAGGAGGCAGAAAGTGGGGGGAACCCCATGAGTACTTGGCTAGAAGAGTTGATGTCGAAAACCGTCAAAAGAGAGCCACGGTTTACAAACTGTTATGCATTGCGGTTCCCTGGGACCCTGGTTAAAGCTATGTATTCCCCAGCAGGGATTCGGACTCAGGAGCAGGAGGGGTGGAGGAAGGAGTCTGAGGTGGGCAGATGAGAAGGTAGCACCTGGGAATCTGCACTCGAATGCACACCCACATCCCAGAATTCATTTAGGTCAGAGGTTCTCAATCTTAACTGCATGTTAGAATCACCTAGGGAATTAAAAAACAAAACAAAACAAAAACAAACTCACAATGTCCAGGCCACACCTGAAAACCAATGAACTCAGATTCTCCGGGGTTAGCACCCAGGTGACAGTTTTTTAAATGCCCCAGGTGATGGCAATGCACAGTTAAGGCTAAGAACTAATGTGTCTAGTACAGCTGTTTTTAAACTTTAATGTGGCTTCATATCACCTGGGGCCTTTGTTGAACTGCAGATTCTGGTTCAGTAGCTCTAGGGTAGGACCTGAGAGTCTGCATTTCTGACAAGTTCCAGGTGATGCTGGTGATGCTTCTGAAGCTGATCTGTGACTATGATCGGCAAAGCAAGGCTCTAAGGCAGAGGTTCTCAGAGTGTGGTCCCTGGACCACCAGTATTAGCATCCACTGAGAACTTGCTAGAAATTTAAGTTCTCAGGCCCCACCTAGACCTCCTGAATCTGAAGATGTGGGGTGGGGTCCAGAAATCTGTTTTAACAAGTCCTCCAAGAGGATTCTGATACATGCTCAAGTTTGGGAACCTCTTGGGCATTCCTTGGTTTCCAGCTGAGGTTCCAGCTGGTTTCCAGCTGAGAATACTCTTGGCCATTCCTTGGTTTCTAGCTGAGGTTACTGGGTTCAGGGGTTTGGCCATATACTGACATGCAAAACCCAGGAGGAGGTGCAGGTTTGGGAGGTGCCAGGAATGATGTTGGCAAAGCCAGAGGGTGCCTGTCTTTCTGGCAAAATAGGGAGTCCCCTGTCGATCTGGGGTCTTTTCCTCCACACATGTGGCCCCATGGACCTGAGGGGGACCTAAGGAGCAGCATGACTCAGGCTGAGCCTGGGGTTTTTGGACACCCTCCTTCCCTCCCTGCTCAGCCTGGGTCCTCTGGTGGGCAAAGTGAAGGAGTACCAGGTGGAGACCATCGTGGATGCCCTCTGTGCCAACATGCGGTCAGATAAGGAGCAGCTCCGAGACATTGCTGGCATCGGCCTCAAGACTGTCCTGTCGGAGCTCCCCCCTGCAGCTACAGGTACCCAGGTCCCAGGGATTAGGCACTGTCATTATCTGTCCTACTTTATGATTAAAGAGACTGGGGCCCAGAGAGGTGAAGGTACTTACTAATGCCATCCAGCTAGTGAATGGCAAAGAGTTCAGACCCAGCTTCTGTTTAAGTTTCCTGGCTCTGTGTCAGGAATGCTTTAGCTGTCAGGAACAAAAATCTAACTAATGACAGTTTGAGGGAGTATGGGGTTGCTTTTCTCACAGAATTCTGGAGGGATCAGCCATCCCATTTTTGCAGCAATTCATTTAGCAGCTCAATTAGGACAGGGGTAAGGTCTCTGCCTCTTTTAAGAAAAGCACATGTTTCCTCAGAAGCCCTCAGAAGGCTTTGACCTATATCTCACTGGCCAGAACAGGGTCACTTGGCCCCTGCTAGCAGCAAGGGAGTCTAGGCAAGGAGCTTTCCCTGCCTCCCTAGTTAGCAGGTGGAAGGCAGAGGGGCCAGGTGTGGGGTGAGTCAGCCACCAATTCTTCAGCTTCCCTGGCTGTCCCCTTTAGTTCAGTCAGACTCTGGGTCAAACCTTGGACCACTCAAGGCCAGGGTCAGCTGGATTCTTGGGGGTGTAGGGTCAGGAATATAATGAGAGCAAGGGCCGACCAGAGGTGGTTGCCAGCCCTGGGCCTCACTGTGCCATCTTTGTGCTCTGTGCAGGCTCTGGCCTGGCTACCAACGTGTGCCGGAAGATCACCGGCCAGCTCACCAGTGCCATCGCCCAGCAAGAGGATGTGGCTGTGCAGTTGGAAGCCCTGGACATCCTCTCTGACATGCTGAGCAGGTGGGGGAGGCCACCCTGAGCAAGGAGGACCGGGGAAGGGCAACATGGGGACAGAGAGGGATTCAGATCCACAGAGCCAGCACTTAACTGCACACCAGGCTCTGTGCTTGGTGCTCCTTAAGTGTTCTAGCAGCCCTGCGGAGAGCTCCTTCATCGCAATTCTATAGTCTCTGAGCCCCGCCCAAGGTCACACTGTCAGTACCAAGGTAACAGTAAATGGCAGAACCTGGGGTTTGAATTCAGGTCTCTCCAAGCCTGGAAGCCTGTGTGTGTTCATCCTCTCCCTCATCCCCTTCGTTGTCTTTTTATTCTTTTGGGCTAATAGAGCTGGGCCTTTGTTTTAAATTACACTGTACATTTTAAAACTGTTTATTCATTCAACCTCCCAAGACTTGAACACCTACTCTGTGACCCAGAAAAATGTCAGATGTTGAACTGGTGCTGGGAATATGGAATTGGATGGGTCTTGGGCTCACAGATAACATAAACTAAGTGGATAAGAACAACAGTAAGGAAAAGAACAGAGCCTTTAGGAGCTCATAGGAGGAGCCGGGGGTAGGGAACTTTCCTTGAGAGGGTCCTGCTGGCTGAGCCTTCAAGGATGGGCAGGACTTGGCCAGGATTGGTTGGGCATAAGGGGGACACTGGAGAGAGAGACTGCCCTCGGGTCCTGGGGGAGACAGCGTGGGGCTGGGGTGTAATGTGGACAGGCTGGTGTGGAGAGATGAGGCTGAGGGCTGAGCAGGAGCTGCGGGGTGGGTGACTAAGGCTGACACTGAATGTGTGAGGAGTGGGGGCGGGGGTCAGGGCAGGGGTCAAGGAATGTCTTGTGCATATCTGTGTGTTTCAGACTTCTCTGCCATGTGCACGGTAGATGGCAGGGTTTGAATGGGCAGGGAGACTGGTTAGGAGGCTTTTGCAGGCAGGTGCACTCAGGTTGTATTTAGAAGATAGACTCCACAGGATTTGGGGTGGGTGAGGGGCAAAAACTCAGAGGTGACACCCAGGGGTCTGGCTTTACTGACTGGGGGGCACACACACAGGGCCATTGGCTGTGGTGGGGTGCACTCTGGGAACAGGAGCAGGTTGTGGGGAGGAAGGTGATGGGTTCATTTGAGGCATGTTGCATCAGAGGTGCCTGGGAGGCACCCACTCAACCAAAGACTCCATGAGGGCAGGCTCTAGGGCCAGTCTAATCTCACCCAAGCTTCCAGCACAGGCCCTATGACATAGTAGGTGAACAAACAAATAAATAAATGAAATCCAGGAGAGAGAGCTGGGCTGGACATGGGAGTGTGAGGCCAATGTGTTTGTGTAGAGTGAGAAAAGTCTCAGCATATGTATGGGACAGAAAATGCACAAGCCTGGTTTTGAAGGTGAAGACAGAGACTGCTAAGGTGGGTAGGGGGCTGCATTCTCCCTGTGCAGAAGCCATTCTCTAGTTTTGCCTCTTGCCTTAAGCCTAGAGCCCAGCTTATACAAAGAGCACTGGGGAGCCACTGAAGGAGTTAGGCAGAGGATTGACCAGGTCAGAGGTAGACTTTAGACCACTGTGATCTCAGTGAAGGGGATGGATTGACAGGGTGTGTGTGTGTGTAGAGTGTGCCTAGGAGGCAAAGCCCAGACCGCCAGGAAATCAGCCCCACTGGAGTCCCCCACACTCCATTACCATCAAGCCTTCTCCCCAGGCTAGCAACCTGGACATCTGGATTCAAGTCCTGGCCTTGTATTTCTTGGCTGAGTGGTCTTGAGAAAGTCCCTTCCCCTCTCTGCTTTCTCTTGGGTAATAATAAATAAATAAATACTCCCACACAGTTGCAGGGCGCCTTTCCATTTACCAAGGGTCTTTGGGTTGTCATAATTCCGGGGAGGAGGCCTGGAGAGGAGAGGTGCCTGGCCCAGGCTCCCCGCTGGGTGGGCCCCGTCCGACATCCCTTCCGACTCCCCAGGCTGGGCGCCCCTCTGGGTGCCTTCCACGCCAGCCTCCTGCACTGTCTGCTGCCGCAGCTGAGCAGCCCACGCCTGGCCGTGCGCAAGCGGGCTGTTGGGGCACTGGGCCACCTGGCGGCCGCCTGCAACACCGACCTCTTCGTGGAGCTCGCGGACCACCTGCTGGATCGGCTGCCCGGCCCGCGCGCACCCGCCAGCCCCGCCGCCATCCGCACTCTGATCCAATGTCTGGGTAGCGTCGGCCGGCAGGCAGGCCACCGCCTCGGTAAGGGGGTGGAGCCCCTCCGCAAGGGGCGGGGCCGAGGCGGGGAGGTGCTGCGGAGCCTGGGGCGGGCGGCCTCCTAGGTGAGGGGGCGTGGCTGATGCAGGGAGGAGCTTGGGGGGGGGGCCCGAGCTGAGAGTAGGGGGCAGGGCATGAGTGTCAGCCACCTCCCAGGTAAGGGGGCATGGCTAACGCCTGAAAGCGGGAGGCAGAGCTTGAGAGGCTGTGGGTGGGCCCTGAGCTCGTCGTGCTGCCACCAAACTTAAATACAGTATGTTCTATCCTCCTACTTTGGCAGATATAACAACCCAGAAGCCAGGTTTGAATTTTTAAAAATTTTTATTGGGGCATAATGTACATAAAATAAACTACTACTTAAAGTGCACAGTTAAGTGTGTTTGACCGTTGCGTACAGCTGTGAAAGTACCGCAGTCAATATGTAGAACATTTCCATCACCCCCCAAAAGTGCCCCTGTGCAGGCCATCCCTACCCCTGCCCCACTCCAGGCAAGCACTGGTCAGCTTTCTGTCACCAGAGATGAATTTTATAGAAATGGAATCCTGCAGGTTTGAATTTATTTTCAAGCACTTCGGAGTTCTGGGCTAGAACAAGCCAGTATGGGCAGACTTGGCCACGGTCTGCCCCTCTTTCCCCTCTGGCTCTCTCACTGTAAGGGATTTTATGAACACACTCGGGGACCCCACCCCGAAGTCCATGCTCTGTCTGCATCCCGCCTCAAACAACAGCCACCATTGGTCACTCTTGGGAGTATGAACCCACGAGGGAGCCTGAACAGGACCAGACTAGGTTCATGGTCAGTTGGACAGGAAAATGGGGAAGCCTGTGACTGGAGAAGAGCTAGGATAGAACCCTTTAAAGCACCAAGAGGTGCCCCTGCCTGTTGCATAAGGGAGTACCTGCATTTCCATGTTTCCCATCCAGGGCTACAACCTAGTGCCGGAAAGATGAGGACATGAGTAAGTTTCAGCGACATGCTACTTTAGGGCCTGCCCTGCGCCAGGTGGAGCTCTTTATGTGCATCATGTCATTAATCCTCACCCAAATCTCTGCCTGGTAGGCATTGTTATCGCTACTGGAAGGATGAGTAGACTAGGTCAGAGAAGTGGTTGTGGTGTGCCCGAGGTCGCGTAGCTCATAGGTGGCGGAGACAAGGCTAGAACCTTGACATCTGCTTGACTCTGAAGCCACTGAGTGGAGTTTGCAGTGGTCAGGGCTGCAAGTGCAGGGACAGGTTGAGTGCTGTGGGCTGAGGGAGCCTGGGAAAGGGTCTGACCTGCCCTCAGTGACACACCTGGCCCTGTAGGCGCCCACCTGGACCGCCTGGTGCCCCTGGTGGAGGAGTTCTGCAACCTGGATGACGATGAGCTCCGGGAGTCCTGCCTCCAGGCCTTTGAGGCCTTCCTGAGGAAGTAGGTGCAGTGCACGTGCCAGGAGACTGGGGCCCAGGGTTTCTTTGGGAAGTTGGCGGGGTGGGGGGCACGATGCTGGCTTCGAAGCAGTATGATCTCAGGACTCAGCCCTGGGCCAGCCCCCTGCCCTCTCCTGCCTGTCCAGCTGAGCCTCCCCTATCCCGCCCCACAGGTGCCCCAAGGAGATGGGTCCTCACGTGCCCAGCGTGACCAGCCTCTGCCTCCAGTACATGAAGCATGACCCGAACTATAACTACGACAGTGACGGGGATGAGGAGCAGATGGAGACAGAAGATAATGAATTCAGTGAGCAAGGTGGGTGGCCAACTTGTCATTGGGGCTGGAAGGCGGAAATGGGTGCCACTTTCCTGGGATACCTCACCCCCCAGCCAAAGACACATCTGGCACCCCCATCCTGATCTTAACTCTTCCTCAGTCTCCAGCCCTGCCCTCTGTGATCTGGGTTCCCCAAGGTCCCCACCCTGTGCACAGATCCAGGTAATGATAGTGGTAATTGCTATCATTTATGGAACGTCTACTAGTGTCCTGAGTATTCTCATTTCATGCTCCTTCTAAGAACTCTAGAAAACCACTGCTTGTTATTATCCCCATATTTCAGACAAGGAAACCCAGATTTAGGGAAGAGATTTGCCTGAAATGACACAGCTGGGAAGTTGGCAAAACTGGGACTTGGAGCCCCCACTTCTATGCTGCCATCTCTATGCCTGCTTAGTAGTGGCTTCCAAGAGATGAAGCTTTCACCCAGCAGAGTGAAGCGCTGATGGTGGAATGATAGGTACTAACGGGGAGAGAGATACCTGGTTGGGGAACGGATGCAGTGGCTGCCTTCCTTCTGTCCCCATGGTCCTACCTGTCACTCAGACTGCTGGCCCTGGGCCTTAGAAGCAGGGCATTGATGGAGGAGAGGGACTTAGGACCTGGTGGGGTACTCAGAATAAGATGGGATGGTGGGAGATGAGATTGGACAGGCGTGTTGGGGCCTCGAGCACCAAGTCAGGGAGAATGGGCATTTTCTTGCCAGCAGCCTGGAGCTATGGATGTTTCTTTCTGGGTGGCGTAGGGTGGAGGTAACAAACCACAGTCCATCAGAGGACATCTGCTCTGGCGACAGGACATATCCATGGGACCATCCACATGGCCCACTGTGGCTTCTCCAGATGCCAGTGCTCTGCAAGTCTGAGTCATCTACAGAGTGGCATGGGTAGAAAGAACACACTGGCCTCGGTCTGTGCCTGGTGGTGTCCCTAGTTAGGACCGTCCCCCTCTTAGCCTCGTGTGCGTCTCCCCAGGTGTATGGGTGGGCCCTGTGGGCCTGAATCTCAGCTCTGTTGTTTCCTAGCTGTGTGTCCTCAGGAGAGTCTCACCCTCTCTGAGCCTAATTCTTGTCTATAAAATGGGGCTCACGACGCCCTCATTCCTGAGGTGTGGTGAAGACTTGATGAGCTCTGTCCTCTCAGGGTTGCTTGGAGAGTAGAAAGCCGCATAAACACAGCTTTTCCTTGTTAGTAGTCCTGCCTGGAAGCCAGAATCAGGACTTGAGAGGCTGGGGGGGTGGGGCGGGGAGGAGGTCAGAGGGAGGCCTGTCACCTCTCCCTTCTGGAATCCCAATAAGTGAAACATCACCCAGTCAGTTCTGACCAAAGGATGTATTTTGTGCCCCAAGTGGATTCTCTGAAATCCTCACTAACGACTTGGAAGTTAGTTTTGTCCCTGATGTAGGCAAAACAGTGAAGGGTCTGGGGGCAAAGGGAGGATCATGGTCTAACTCCAGCTATATCCCTGCTCATGTAACATGGGGTGAGCCATTCCCCCCAGTTTCCACATCTCTACAGAGGGAAAATAACCCCTGTCTCACAAGGTAGTTGTGAGGCTCAAATGAGGTTGTGGATCTGAGGTGCTTGGCATTGCCTCTGGCACACAGTAGGTGTTCATGAAATGGCAGGTAACACTCCTAACAGCCTGTAAATAGTCAACAAAAGTTGAAACAGGCCTGGCTCCCTTCTCCCTGCCCCATCCCGGGAGATAGCCTGGGTGGGGCCAGGCTGCCATGCTCAGGGCTCCATGGGTTTCCTGTTCCTGCCCCAGAGAGTGAGGACGAGTACAGTGATGATGATGACATGAGCTGGAAGGTGCGTCGGGCTGCGGCCAAGTGCATGGCAGCCTTGATTGGCTCTCGGCCCGACCTGCTGCCTGACTTCCACGGCACCCTGGCGCCTGCACTCATCTGCCGCTTCAAGGAACGCGAGGAGAACGTCAAGGCTGATGTCTTCGGGGCTTACATTGTGCTGCTGCGGCAGACACGACCCCCGAAGGGGTGGCTGGAGTCCATGGAGGAGCCCACCCAAACGGGCAGCAACCTCCATGCGCTTCGCGGCCAGGTGGGCACACCTCCTCCTGTCTCCCACCCTCACTCCCCAACTCATGACTCACCCTCCCACCCGTTCACCCTCCCATCCGTCCGCCTTCCCATCCTTCTGCTGCCCCACCATCTGTCCAGCCACTGAAGTGTGTGTCCCGAGCCCTGATTGTGCCTGGCCCTGTGGTAGGTGTTGAGGCCCAGCGGGGAGCATGGCAGGTGAAGCCCTGGCCCCTGGACCACACAGATAGATAGCACAAATAGGGCTTCTGGCCCGGCCCCCCACCCCCCAGAAGGAGTTTTATTCTAAGGGCCTAGAAGCCACAGGAGGGGAATTACGGGATCCCATTCCCATTTGAAGGAGCTCACTCTGGCTGCTATACGGGGAATGGAGTGTAATAGGGCAGGAAAGAGTAGCTGCCGGAGGCCAGCAGGAGGCCATGGTAGTTGTCCAAGTGGGAGGGATGGTGCTGTGGGCTGGGCATAGGGGAGAGAGGATTGGTCAGACGAGGGGTAGTTTTTGGGTCTTGCTGACGGATTAGATGTGGAGGGTGAAGGACCGGAAGGTGTCATGTGAGTGCCAGGCTCTGGCTAAAGCATGAACTGCTGCTCCATGCCACGGTGAAGAGAATATCTAGAGTTCTGTTCTGGACATTTATGTGGGAGGTCCTTGGATGCCCACGTTGAGAGGTCCGGCGGGCGGCGAGCACACGAGTCAATATTGGAGATGTAGATCTGGGAGTCTTTGCTTCACTGGCATCTAAGCTCGGGGACCAACTGGGCTCCTCTGGGGACAGAATCTAGCCAGGGAAGGGAAAAGGGCCTCAGTGCTTCCCCATCAAGGAGTGTAGGGGTGAGAGCCAGACTGCCTTGGGTGGCCTGGAGCAAGTCACTTCATCTCTCTGACCTGCTCCCCGTCTGTAAAGAGGGCCCAGGAACAGGACCGACCGCAGAGTGCCTGGTATGAAGTGTGTGGTGGAAAGCTGGGGCTGGAGCAATCCTCTCACACCGGGGGTCCTCCATGGGCCTGTGCCTGGGCAAAGCCCCCCAGTACTGGGTGGGACAGCCAGGTTTCCTGACTAGTCACTGATCCCCTGCAAACTGCCCACAGGTGCCTCTTGTGATCAAGGCCCTGCAGCGGCAGCTTAAGGATCGGAGCATCAGGGCCCGCCAGGGCTGCTTCAGCCTCCTCACAGAGCTGGCGGGCGTCCTCCCTGGCAGCCTGGCAGAGCACATGCCTGTGCTGGTAGCAGGTAGGATGGACTGCAGCCAGGTATCTGCTGTCCTGGGCTCTTCCAGAACCCGACCCCAGGCCTCAATCCCCATGGGTACCCCCACTCAGCAACCTACGGTGGTTCCCCACTGCCAGCAGTGAGAACAAAGCTGGGGTACAGGCCCTATGTCCTGGTTTCCGAGGGGTTTCCTGGCCTTGTGTCCCTCCGCCCTGGCCCTGGCCAAGCTCTGACCTTTCAGAATCTGCAGCCTAAGAGCCTAGGGGTCTGGGTCCAGCTCAGATGCCTGCAGGTGCTCCACCCTCATATCCAGGGACTGCCTGTGGCCCCATAACCTTTGCACACACACCCCCCCCACAGGCATTGTCTTCTCTCTGGTGGACCGTTCCAGCTCTTCAACTATCCGGATGGACGCCCTCGCCTTCCTACAGGGGCTGCTGGGCACAGAGCCAGCCGAGGCCTTCCACTCACACCTGCCGACTCTCCTGCCACCTGTGACGGCCTGCGTGGCTGACCCTTTCTACAAGATCGCGGCCGAGGCCCTGCTGGTGCTCCAGGAGCTGGTGCAGGCCCTGTGGCCCCTGGACAGGCCTCGGACGCTGGACCCCGAACCATACGTTGGAGAGATGTCTGCGGCCACCCTGGCACGGCTCCGTGCCACTGACCTGGACCAGGAGGTGAAGGAGCGCGCCATTGCCTGCATGGCCCACCTCGTGGCCCACCTGGGTGACCGGCTCGGTGACGATCTAGGGCCGTCACTGTTGCTCCTCCTGGACCGCCTGCGGAATGAGATCACCCGGCTGCCTGCTGTCAAGGCGCTGACGCTGGTGGCCGTGTCCCCGTTGCGGCTTGACCTGCAGCCCGTCGTGGCTGAGGCACTGCCCATTCTGGCCTCGTTCCTGCGGAAGAACCAGCGGGCGCTGCGGCTGGCCACGCTGGCCGCCCTGGACGCGCTGGCCCAGAGCCAGGGACTTAGCCTCCCGCCGGCTGCCGTGCAAGCTGTGCTGGCCGAGCTGCCTGCCCTGGTCAGTGAGAGCGACATGCATGTGGCCCAGCTGGCCGTGGACTTCCTTGCCACGGTGACCCAGGCCCAGCCGGCCTCTCTGGCCAAGGTCAGCGGCCCTGTGCTCTCGGAGCTGCTGCGGTTGCTGCGCTCGCCCCTGTTGCCCGCCGGTGTGCTGGCCGCTGCCGAAGGCTTCCTGCAGGCCCTTGTGGGGACCCGCCCCCCGTGCGTGGACTACGAGGAGCTCATCCTCATGCTCACGGCACCTGTCTATGACCAAGCTGCGGAGGGGGGGCCAGGCTTGCACAAGCAGGTGTTTCACTCTCTGGCTCGCTGTGTGGCAGCCCTCGCGGCCGCCTGTCCCCAGGAGGCAGCAGGCACGGCAAACCGCCTGGTCTGCGATGCCAGGTCACCCCACTCCAGCACAGGGGTCAAGGTCCTGGCGTTCCTGTCGCTGGCCGAGGTGGGCCAGGTGGCCGGGCCAGGCCCCCAGCGGGAGCTGAAGGCAGTGCTCCTGGAAGCCTTGGGGTCACCCAGTGAGGACGTGAGGGCAGCTGCGTCCTATGCGCTGGGCCGCGTGGGCGCCGGGAACCTGCCCGACTTCCTGCCCTTCCTGCTGGGGCAGATCGAGGCTGAGCCCCGGCGGCAGTACCTGCTGCTGCACTCGCTCAGGGAGGCCCTGGGGGCCGCCCAGCCTGACAGCCTGAAGCCCTATGCTGAGGACATCTGGGCCCTGCTCTTCCAACGCTGTGAGGGCGCCGAGGAGGGCACCCGGGGGGTGGTGGCTGAGTGCATCGGCAAGCTGGTCCTTGTGAACCCTCCGTTCCTTCTGCCCCGATTCCGGAAGCAGCTCGCTGCAGGTAGGGGCACAGGTGTGGGCAAAGGCAGTCCAGGTCGGAAGTAGGCAGTTTGCATCTGAGCGGCCCACTCAGAGTGAGCTAATTCAAACCACTGGGTTGGAGAGTCACGGTGTGGATAAGGTAAAGGCAGAGGATCCATGAGAAAACACAGTGTTTCCAGAGACTTGAGGCCTCCTCCTGGGGGACTCTCTGGGCTGGAGGAGAGAGAATCCTTAGTATCTTAGTATGTCCCCTCAAAAAATAAGCCTTTTGTGATGCCACTTTCGTACTCCTTGATGTGGACTGTAGCCCCATGCTCTGGGTGGAGGTTGATAAAATCAGTTTTCTGTCTGCAGAGAGCGTAGCTCTCTTGGGCTGGTTGGAGCCGGGAGCAAATGTCCGTGTAGACCAGGACTGGGTGCCGTACCCTGGTGGTTTGGGGAGGGTCCGGCAAAAACCGGGGGCAGGTTTTGTGTGGTCAGGCAAGGGCATGTCAGGGTGTTCCAAAGCCCAGGGAGGGAGAAAGCAGGCAGGTGGGACTGGGGGGCCCTTGGGCAAGTGAAAGCCCCTGAGAAGGAAAGGCCTGCAGACCTTGAGCTGGTCCGCTGGCCCACTGATAGGGTCAGCGGGTGTATTCATTGGCAGGATGCAGGCAAAGTGCCGGGTGTATAGTACGCGGTATGTAATTTATACTAAGTAACTGCTATCATTGCTCTGTTAGGGATTCCAGTTAGGCCCTTACTGGGATGCTGGGTTTAGAAGCCACAGCTCTGTGGCCCACACCAACCACTGTGTGGACAGAAGAACGTATCGAGGACATTGCCTGTGACACTCACAGGGCTCTTCACGAGGAACCTTGAGAGGCCAGAGTCTTGGGATGAGCTTGGAATGGCTCTGCCATTTTCAAGCTCCGATTTGTTTCTGCCTAATGCACGCTGTTGAGCCAGCGAACCAGTCACATCTCCTAGTTAGCCGCCTGGGAGCTTGGAGCCGGATTCGTGGCCTGCTTCTGGCAAGTCTGTGGGACTTCCTAGCTGGCTCTCCCTGCCCTCAGTCTAGTCTTCCTCTCACTTCCCTGCCTGTGTTTTCCCTTGGCCTCATTTTTTTCATTTTATTTTTTAATTAATTATTTTTAAAAAGGATTTCTTTCTTAGAGCGAGAGAGCGTGTGCACAGCGGGAGAAGGAGAGGGAGAATCTTAAGCAGACTTCCCACTGGAGCAGGGAGCCCGATGGCGGGGCTCGATCCCACGACCCTGAGATGACCTGAGCCGAAACCAAGAGCTGGACACTTAACTGACTGTGCCACCCAGGCGCCCCATCATTTTTCTCATTTTATTTTTATTTATTTATTTTAAGATTTTATTTATTTATTTGACAGCGAGAGAGGGAACACAAGCAGGGGGAGTAGGAGAGGGAGAAGCAGGCCTCCCGCCGAGCAGGGAGCCCGATGTGGGGCTCGATCCCAGGACCCTGGGACCATGACCTGAGCCGAAGGCAGATGCTTAACGACTGAGCCACCCAGGCGCCCCATTTTTCCCATTTTAAATTCACTCAGTGCTGTTCTATTGTCCATGTCTTCATCAGCTACCCTGAATCTTCTCAGGAGCCAGTCAAGATAGAGTAAGAGGGAAAAAGCTGCAAGTCTAAAGTCACTAACTCTTTCCCTTATTCACACCCTGGCACCAAAATGTGAACTTTTTTCCTGAATCTCTAGTGTAAAATCTACATGATGGAAACAACCTTAACCCATCACTGTTGTGTGCTGGGGGAGGAGAGGAGCAAGCAGCTCTGGTTTGTTTCTTTCACCATAATAGGAGGTATATTCCCTTCCCTTTCTTCACCTTCTCTGCTCAGCCAGCTGAAAAGTCAAATTAAGTGACTTCTCCATTACCCAGCTTAGGGGGTGTTCTGAATTCTGTTGGAATCCCCTTGGCCTTCAGTTTGCCTGAACACACCTGCCCCCTGCTTGGAGGATGCAGGCCTGAGGAGGAGGGCCCGGCCAGGCTCAGAATCAGCCATTGAATTTTGGATCTGCTGCGTGACCTGAGATGTGAACTTAACCTTTCTGGGTCTTCTTCCTCATCTGTAAAATAGAGATTCATAATAATTTTTATGAAACATTTTTATTTATCTTACCATTAATTAACAGGACCATTCTGAGGATTAATTGAGATAACGCGTCTGAAAAATAGAATGCAGCCCTAAAGGCCTGAACAGAGGTCTTTCTTTGGGCTGTGGATTGACCACTGTCTTGGTTCCCTGTTTGCATCCTGCAGTGTGGTTACCTGAGAACTGGCAGCTTTTCTGTCAGCCACAGCAGGGAGAATTTAGGGATGAATTTTAGGCTGCCGAGGGAAATGAAAGCATTGACTTCGCCAAAGATGGGTGTTTTGAATGGGGAGGGGTCCGGTTCTGTCTCCCAGGGAGGCAGGGAGCTTGGGCGCCTTTGGACCTGTGGGTGTCCAGGATCCACCCTGCCACTCACCAAGCTAATGCGTCTCGTCCTGCAGGTCGGCCACACACCCGGAGCACAGTTATCACAGCGCTCAAGTTCCTCGTATCTGACCAGCCCCATCCTATTGACCCCCTCCTGAAGAGCCTCATCGGTGAGCACCCCCTTCCCTCTGCCCCCGGCCCCATTCAGTCCCCACTCCCAGGCTTTGAGTCTGGGCTGATTTTTCCTACACATGTGCCAAGGGGAGTTGGAGACCAAGGAGGCTACCTCACTCCCATGACGGGCAGCAGGGCCTGCTTTCAAATCCCTGTGCTGGCACTGAACCGCTGGGTGAGCCTAGCCTGCCCCTTCTCACCTCTGAGCCTCAGTTTCCTCCTCTGTAGAATGGGGGTAAGGTTCTAAGGTTATTTCAGAGACCCTATCTGTTACCGAGGAGAAGGTACTCCCTGAGCATGCAGGCTCTTGCAAGTGGAAAACCACCAGCCTCTCACATGCATTGACCTCAGCGGGCACAAAGCTGGGTAGGGCTGCACTGGAGCTGGGGAGCATGGCTCCCCCTCTTATCCCCTGTCTGAGGAGCCTTCCGTCTTGAGGAGCCCAAGTAGCCTTCATTGGTGAGCCCTCTCTTTGGGGCTCTGCAGGACCAGGCTCTTCCTAGAGAAGGCAGACATTCAAAGATCGGAGCCTGCAGGCCTGTCACTGGACCACACTGGAGTCTGGCCCTCCTCCTCCAGGCAGCCTAGTGTAGTGTGGGGAGTCTTGGGCTGGCAGCCTGGCTCTGCTACTCTCTGGCTGTGTGAGCATGGACAGATCATCTCATCCCGAGCTATAAAACGGGGGTGCTGGTCCCCACTTGCCAGGGCACTGTTGTGTGAGACCAGGGATCAGCGGACATGGCCACGGTCAGGATTGGAGAATACGTCCAGAAGCCACAGCAATATCAGCAGCAACTTCATCCCATCCCCTGACCCAGTGGGCACACGCTGCCGCCAGTCTCGATTTCCCTCATCTTGCCTAAGCTGCCTGCCCAGGGCTGGCAGCCCCCTAGGGATCTGTGCCTGGATGTTTGGTTGTTGTTGTATGTTTGAACCAGTTTTCGAGCTCTCACTGTGTATCTGGTACAAGGTTAGGTCCTTTAATACACCTCACCATGGTTCATTCTCACAGCTCCCTGCATGGTATGTAGGCCTGGCCACATCTTACAGATGAGGAAGCAGAGGCTCAGAGAGGAGACATGAACTCAGGTCTTGCCAGCTTCCCCATAGCTGTGTTCTCAGAGATAATGGGGGAATCTAGGAACCAGCAGGGCACAGTGCAAGGAGCCAGAGGTAGCCAGCTCTTGGTTTGAATCCCGCTCTGCTGGAAGGCTTTATGTTCTTCCCAGTGCATCATATTGGGAGGCACGTGATAGCGGTTTGCCCCGTGACTGGTGATGGTAACTCTGATCATCTGGTTAAGATGGAGACTTCCAGTTTGCTCTAAGATTACTTTTTCCTGGAGCACCTGGGTAGCACAGTCGGTTGGGTAACTGATTCTTGGTTTTCGGCTCCAGTCGTGATCCTGGGGTCATGAGATCGAGACCCACGTCGGGCTCCGCAATCAGTCTGGAGCCTGCTTGGGACTCTCTCCCTCTCCCTCTGCCCCTCTCCCACTTCTCTCTTAAATAAGTAAAATCTTTAAAATTACCTTTCCCTTTGGAATGAGTAAGTATTTTTGAGTCTGTTGAAATATCCTCTTCATCAAATTTTTTTTAAGATTTTATTTATTTGTTTGAGAGAGAGAACAAGCAGGGGGAGAGGCAGAGCGAGAGGGAGAAGCAGACTCCCCGCTGAGCAGGGAGCCCAACGTGGGGCTTGATCCCAGGACCCTGAGATCATGACCTGAGCCAAAGGCAGATGCTTAAGCCACCCAGGCACCCCTTCATCAAATTTCTGCCCACTACATCCAGCATCCATTGTGGTTTCTTTCTTGCTTCAGCGATTTCTGATAGTTGCCAAATGGTGACTTCCAGTTCCAGCATTCCTTTCATATTTGTTAGTTTGCCTTCTATTTTCTGGAAGAACTTTTCCTTCTCCCCCACTTATTTATTTATTCATTGATTTATTCACATCATTATAGACTCATGGATTCCTGTTTCATTCAGTGAGTTACAATTTATTACTGTCTTCATTTATTTGATTCTCAAGCTTGTCTCAGACGTGGCCAGTGGGGGCCCTTCAGGCTGGTTCCAATGTTCTGTTGACAGGTTTCCATCATCCTTTAAACGTATCCTTACTTTTTGGCACAATAAGATGCTCTAGACTCACCTTGAACTTTTCCTGCCCTAGCTCAGGAATTAGCCATTTCTCCAGGGAGCCCTGATTCCTTTGAGGGGAGAATGGTACTTAGAACCCAAGACCTGGACACTAGGTGTGCTCATTGCTACTGGGGTGCTGTTGCTGCGAGGCCCTCTCAGCAGACAGAGTTGGGGAGTATATGTGTGTCTGAGTGTACACAGAGAGACACACATGTACATGAGTTACCTCCTCTCTAGCCCAGCACTGCAGGGTTCCTCCTAGCCTCCTTCCTTCCCGTTCCATACCCTTCTCTTACAGGGAGAAACCCAGCTCCTGCTATCTATAAGGTATTTGTTCTGGAATACACAGAAAGTAGACCAAGCATGGCTAACCTTTATATCTGTGAAAACTCAGCATTTGTTTATAGGGCTTTTATCTTTAGTCTGAGGGCATCTAGTCAAAATACTTTGGAAGTTACTTGGTTGAGTTGTTTTACTCTTCATAACCTGGAGGTTATGTTAATCATTTGAAATATAGTTAGGGGGGTTTGGTTGTTGTTTTTGTGCTTTTTTAAGGGATTCCCCTCATTCTTGATTTTATTTATAGAGCATGTAGAACATTAACACAGTTATTAAAAAGTCTGAACTATATAAAAAGGTATACTCAGAGAAGTGCTGTGTGAATGTGTAAGTTTCTTCATCTCTCTGATCTTCAAGAGCCTTATCTATAATAATATCAAGTTACCATTTATAGAATCCTTGCTCTGTGCCAGCCCCTCTATGTATTGATATATATATTTAACTTATATAAATAAATATATACTATATATAATAAAAATATATGAATATATATCCCATCACTACATTTTAAATCTTAAAAATAGTCCTACACTATGGGTACTGCTATTACTCCCATTTTATAGATGAAGACATTGAGGTTATCCAAGGTCCCATAGTTAGGCAGTGGCGGAACCTGGATTTGAACCCACGCCAGACTCTAGTTCACATTCTTACCTGGGCTCTGAGGACTTGTGTCTGGTAAAAAAGTAGATGCTCAGGACATGTTTGCCCCCATTCGGCCAGGTCTGCCCAGCTCACATTAAGCAGATAACCAAGGTAGGGAGTGGAGGTGGTCTGTGTCTTGCCCGAGCCGTCCCACACACCCCCTCTCATCTTTCCATCAGGAGAGTTTATGGAGAGCCTGCAGGACCCAGACCTGAACGTGCGCCGGGCCACGCTGGCTTTCTTCAACTCAGCTGTGCACAACAAGCCCTCTCTGGTCCGGGACCTGCTGGATGACATCCTGCCCCTCCTCTACCAGGAGACAAAGATCCGCAGGGACCTCATCCGAGAGGTGAGGCCTGTGAGGGACAGAGTGGGGAGCCCTGGGCCTGACTGGTGGGGCTGTGGCAAGGATTCGGGTCCCCTGTGGCCTGGGTCAAGTCCTGCCCCTCCACTTCCTGGTTGTGTGACCCTGGGCACAGGGGCCTAGGACCATTCAATCTGATCTGAGCCTCAGTCTCTCTTAGGCAAAATGAGAAAACGACTTTGTGTCTGCGTCAGAGGGTTGTTGAGGAGATTCCCTGAGTTATGTCCTGCAGGTGCTCAGAACTTCTTCTGGCCCACCATCGGCCTCAGTAAATGTTGGTGCTTCTTATTATCACTCAGCATTCAGCAGGTGTTCATTGAGTGCCAGCCCCGTGTCAGAGTGCCAGGATCAGAGCTGGACCCGACATGGTGTCTGCCACCAGGGAGCTCTTGGCCTCCTCAGGAATAGAGACACCCATTCTGCCAATTATATAACCGATTTAAATCCTTAAGTAAGGATTTAAGGGGCAGAGATTAAAGGTGACTTAACAGCTGTCATCACATGATATAATAAAAAGGTCTGAACCAGCTGGCATTGCTGAGGAGGAAGTGACTGTGTTTAGAGGGGTTCGGAAAGTTTCCCCAAAGAGGGGGCATTTAGGCAGGGCTTTGAGGGGTGAGAAGGAGCATACCATTAAGAACAGAGCCTTGTGGTTAAAAGCTTCAGAGACCTGGGTTTTTAATTCTAGATCAGCTACTTACTAGCTGTGTGTTTCTGGGCAAGTTAATTAACCTCTCTAAGCCTTAGTTTCCTCATATGTTATTAACACCGTCTCCCTAGGGCTGTTGTGATGCTTGAGCAAAATGTCATTTGTCAAGCACTCACACAGTGGCTGACACATTACCACTGCTCAGTAGACCATAATAATTATTGTTACTGTTTCTTTTAAGATTTTATTTATTTATTTTAGAAAGGTGGGGGTGAGTGTGAGCGAGTGGAGGGAGAGAGAATCTGAAGCAGATGCCGCGCTCAGTGTAGAGCCTGATGCGGGGCTCAATCCCGCAACCACGAGATCATGACCTGAGCTGAAACCAAGAGTCGGACACTTAAAACCGACCGAGCCACCCAGGTGCCCCTGTTGGCTGTTATCATCAAAGGGCACTGCAGGCCCAGCAAAGGCAAGAGACTTGAGAGTACAAGGCTTGATTCAGGGACAGAACACAGTACTGAATGAGGGAGGTGGGGTGTGCAGCAGGGACTAAGGGAGTCACATCCTGTAACCCTTGTCATCCTCCGTCCTGCAGGTGGAGATGGGGCCCTTTAAGCACACGGTGGACGATGGGCTGGATGTGCGGAAGGCAGCCTTTGAGTGCATGTACTCGCTGCTTGAGAGCTGCCTGGGCCAGCTGGACATCTGTGAGTTCCTGAACCATGTGGAGGATGGCCTGAAGGACCACTACGATATCCGGGTAGGACGGGCCCCCTGCCAGACCTGTGCCCACCCCGTCCCAAGGGCACAGGCGAGCACTGCTGGGGCCCACTGCTTGTTTATCCCCCACTCTCCACCCCAGGTGAGCACTGCTGGGGCCCACTGCTTGTTTATCCCCCACTCTCCACCCCAGATGGTGGGCCAGAAGAAGTTCTGAGCACCTGCAGGACATAACTCAGGGAATCTCCTCAACAACCCTCTGACGCAGACACAAATTCGTTTTCTCTTATTGTCACCACCATCTTCACCCCATGAAGATAACTGCATTGTTTTTTTTTTTTTTTTAATTTTATTTATTTGACAGAGAGAGAGCATGAGCAGGGGGAGTGGCAGAGGGAGAGGGAGAAGCAGGCTCCCCACTGAGCAGGGAGCCCAATGCAGGGCTCGATCCCGGGACCCTGGGATCATAACCTGAGCCGAAGGCAGATGCTTAACCGACTGAGCCACCCAGATGTCTCTGCATTGTTCGTTTTCAATAAGAAAAAGGGCCAAGCTCTCAAACACCTTTGGCAGGAGCCTACGGTGGACAAGCTCTTTGGAAGATGGTTTAGCAGTAACTTGAAACATTTAGAATTCTTAGACACACCTTTTTTTTTTTTTATTAATTTATTTATTTATTTGACAGAGAGAGACACAGCGAGAGAGGGAACACAAGCAGGGCGAGTGGGAGAGGGAGAAGCAGGCTTCCCGCTGAGCGGGGAGCCCGATGCGGGGCTCGATCCCAGAACCCTGGGATCATGACCTGAGCCGAAGGCAGACGCTTAACGACTGAGCCACTCAGGCGCCCCTTAGACACACCTTTGACCTAGCAGTTCTGTCTCCATGAACAGAGCCTCTGGACTCACTCTTAAAAATGCGTTCAGAGTTTTTATGTTCAGGATTGTTCTTCACAGCTCTGTGGGGCTTGGGGAAAGCTGGAAGCTTCCTGAATGTCCACCCATCAGAAGCTGACTCAGTAAACTGGCTGCCTCTGGTCACAGAATGCTAGCCGCGTTAAGAAGAGTGAGCCAGGTCCCTTTGCACTGATGTGAGAGATGGCCAAGACCCACTGTCGATTGATAAAAGCCAGTTGTTTTTACAGACGTCTTCCCCAGGCTGTCCTGCTCTCACCCGTTCTGGCCCCACTGTCCTCTTGTCTGCCCCCCTGGGAGCACAGGACACGGCCTGGGCATCAGGGCAACATTTGGACCCCAATGTCCAGGCTCCTTTTGGTGTTGAGGAGGGTGGGTATGACATCTCTTGAGCCCCCAGGGTTACCTTGTGGAGTCTGCACTCTCTCTTTGGACAGTGGGTTTAGGATGCCCACTTTACAGGGGAGAGGCCAGAGAACTGGCGAGTTCAAGGGCACCAGCGGGCAAGTGGAGGAGCCCTGGGTCCCAGCTTGTGCTGTGTAATGCCATGCTCTTTGCTGCTCTGGCCCTGGTCCCCCTCCTTTGCTGTGGGTTGTCGGGGGGTCAGGGCAGGCTAGACAGCTTGGCGGGTAGGGCACATAGAATCTAGACAACCATCCTTTATGCTGTGGAGTGCTCGTAGGAACTACCATTTTCCCGAGAGGCCACCATGAGTCTCCTGCAGGCTACATCCAGGCCTGTAGATGTGTTTAGTTGGCTCACACATAGGTTTTTTTTTTTTAAACTGGGTGCCAACATTTAAAAGTTGAGAGATCTTCCATGAACATCAGTTTTGAAAACAGGCCGTCAGCCCTGGGCCACATTCCCACAGCCACGACTGGCTGGAGCTGAGAGCTGCTGTCTGGAGTGTGGGCTCCTTACTCCTGCCCAGTTGCCCTCTGGCCCTCTTCACTCATGGACAGTATTTGCCTGGCCCTGTGAGCATCTGAGCTGGAGAATCGCCCCCTCCCTGGTGCCTCTTCTGATCTGATCCTCCTCAAGTCAGCCAGGTGTAGTTGGCATAGTAACCATTGCCATTCACAATTGATAAATAAGGAAACTGAGGCCCAGAGCGGGAGAGACTCTGGCAGGGCCCTGGCGGGAATTAGTGCTAGAGTTTGGACCTGAGCTCCAGGTGTTGGTACCAGAGCCTCTGATCTTCCCTGGGCTTTGCTCCTTTTGGTCCTGGGCCATTCACCATGAACTCTGTCTCCTTCCTCCTGGGCAGATGCTGACCTTCATCATGCTCGCCCGACTGGCTACCCTGTGTCCCGCACCTGTTCTGCAGAGAGTGGACCGGCTCATTGAGCCACTCAGGGCCACCTGCACTGCCAAGGTACCTTCCCATGTCCCCCACCCCACTTAGCCCTGGGCACCCCTACAGATTCCTCACAGTTATCATTTATAGGTGGTGATAGAAGTGCTTCATTTAATCGTTGTCATCATCCCATAAAGTATCTCTTATTGTCACCACTGTGTACACAGAGGAACAGAGACTCCGAGAGGTGAAGTTATGGACCTAGGCTACCCAGCTAGTAAATTGCAGAGCTGGGATTCAAACTCGGCTCTTTCTTTCATTCATTAAACATTGCCTGGGTGCTGGGCCTTGTTGCAAGGTACTAGGGATACAACATTGAACGTGGTGGGTTCCCTACTCCCACATCCTAATTGGGAAACCGAGTCGGACTCCTGGAAAGAGAGAAACTGTTGATTGGTTGATTGATACAGGGCAGAGTTGCTGCTAGGCTGGAGTGCCTCAAGGATCCAGGGGAGGGATCTGGAGAGGGAGGCCGGGGGGCAAGCTGCAGTGTTGGGAACCGAGCTGGCACACCCAGGGGGTATCCAGTAATTACCTGGTGACTGCAAGAACTAATTTGGGTTTTGAAAGGGTAGGCATTAACCAAAAAGATTTCAGATTGGAGCTTAAAGAGGAGAGATAACCCATAGAACAGTGGTTTTCAAGTAGCAAAATCTTTTCCAATAAAATAAAATCTGTCGATTAAACAGATACAATTGGTCCTTTCTTAAGAGATAGAAACCTGCTTGTAAGTTTCCGTTTGTAACATATGCCGGGTATGAAGTCAAAGGAAACACTGGTTCTGCAGGGCCCTTGCAGTCTTGACCGTTTCAGTGGCCAAATCATTTCTAATTTTCTTTGAGCCGTTCGGCATGGAGAAAGATCCCAGTTCACGGGGAAGGGCTGCAGATCCCGCTTCACTCAGCCCCGATGGCAAGAGGAGCTTTGATCTGAGGCCCACACATACGCCCCTCAGTCTGGCTGCAGAGGACGCTTTTTGTCAGGCACTGAGATGAGAACTTGCTGCATGCATGTCCACAATCCCTCATCCACTGAAACTTACAAAGCTCTGGAACTTGTTTGGCAACAAAACTTGACTTGAACTGGCCTGAGGCTGTTTATGACTTTTATTTCTCTCTCATTGTGACACTCGTAATATTCTTTCATTTTTCATTTAGTAGGGGAAATATTCATGCATTTGATTACAGGATATTGTACCATGTTATCTGCACACTATCCCCTTTCTAACCGCCCCCCCCCACACACACACACACAAATCCTGAATTCCAAAAGCACACCTAGCCCCAACGGTTTCAGAGCAAGGGGTATGGACCTGTGTTAAGCCATTTAACCCTCAAAGCAACTCTACGGAAAGGAGGCTCTTCCATACAGAAAGGGAAGTGCAACTCACAGTGAGGACCTGAAGTCACAGCGCTTACAGGGAGGAGCCATTCGAACCTAAGACTGTCCAGCCCCAATGCCAAGCTCTTAACCTCTACACTGGACTCTTCAGGGGGAAGAGTCTTTGTCTGGGCTAAGTCGGGGGCCTTGAGAGGAATTTGGACTTTATTCCCTAAGGATTGGGGCAATTCTGAGATTCTCTTGAGTAAGTGGGAGAGGGTGGGGGATGAAGAAACAGGCAGGCAAGGCAGTTTGAGGGGTTTCCCGTGCAGAGTAGCTTGCAGGGGTAGGCACCTGAGTAGGGGGGATGAGGCCAGCTAGGTGACTGTCACGGTGACCCAGTCATTGAGTTAAGTCATATGGTACCGAGAGCCTGTTTTAAGCACAGTAAGAAGAGATAGGCTGAATCCTCCTGTCAGGGGAAGGAGGTAACTAACTGAACACTTTACAGCATTTGTCACCATCCAATTATTTATTAATAAAAAGAAAGATGGGCAGTTTAGATTGGTTGGTCAGAGGCCTCCTAGGTGACCTTGAAGTTGATTTAATGACAAAGAATCCCCCTCTGGAGAAACCTGCCAGGGTAAAAGTGCAGAAGAAACCTCAGGAGGCTGGAACCACAGAGACAGAAGTAGGGGAGTGTGCTGTGATTTAAACTGGGAAGGATTTTACAGGTGGTTGGGGGAATCCAGAGACCAGTGAGGCAGCTGTGGCGCGAGGCTAGGTTCAATAAAGGATGGCTTGTTGTTTCCTACTTTAGGTCAAAGCCGGTTCCGTGAAGCAGGAATTTGAGAAGCAAGACGAGCTGAAACGCTCTGCAATGAGGGCCGTGGCCGCCCTGCTGACCATCCCGGAAGTAGGGAAAAGCCCCATCATGGCTGACTTCTCTTCCCAAATCCGATCCAACCCTGAACTTGCTGCCCTCTTTGAAAGCATCCAGAAGGATTCTGCTTCAGCCCCCAGCACAGACTCGATGGAGTTCAGCTAGTCCTCCCCCTGCCCCCAGGTGGGCCCTTACTCAAGAGAAGGGGGCCTACCCAATCCCGAGGCCTCACCGGTCCCCCTGCCCTCCACAAGCCTCTACTTACCTCCTTTCATCTCCCTGGGGGCCTTCCTGCTCCTGGTTGGGGCTTACAGTGCCTTCTCCAGGGACCCCCAACTCGAGGCCCCCAGCAAGAGCTGCAAGGCTGCCCTTTAACTCAGGAGAGTCATTCAAAGAAAAAGGGCAGGGACATTTTCCAAGCCCTTCCGAACAAACATGGATGTGTGACTGTGACTTCACACGGGGGTGGAGGTCTGTACCTTCAAAGCGGGGAGTCCCTGCCTCACAAAGGACTAAGTAGTGTTTAGAAATACTCTTGTGCTCACAGCTGCGGAAGGTTAGGAGGCAGCCGGCTGGCCTTCCTGCCCACCCGTGTCCCAGAATTGTCACTCACACCTCTCCCACTTTTCACTTCACTTGATCTAATAGGCCAAACATTAGTGCTCCAGCTGGGCATCTTAAAGACTCAAGCTACTTCTCTGAGCTGTTCACATTTTAGAATTCAAAATGCTTTACTAATTGGCAGTAATGAATCTGAAATTTGGTTTTTTGCAGGGGGAGGGGGTCAGGATAGGGAATTAGATCTCATTTTTTTTTCTAATTTCAAAACTCTTATGTAGCCAACTGGGAAATAAACACAAAGAAAGTAGAGACCCCCTTTCATGTTACCCACCTAGGTGTAACCAGTTGGTTTTTGTCCTTCTAAGGAAGATTTTGAACATGTGGTTTCTAGTTTTTAATATTGAAGACACAAATATTACACAATAGGCTAAAGAATTTTCTGTGCTATCCCAGGTTAATAAAGGAGATCCTAGTGTTACTTTTTCTCTGCACACTTCCTCAGTAGACCGCTGTTAGTATACTTCCCGAGTCAATTGAAAGAAATTACGAGAACGACCAACAGTTAAGTCAATGTTTCAGACTAGGCTTTGAACTGGAGGCAGGCAACCTGTAATTTACCTACCCAATTTAAGGGACTTAAATCCACTCGCGGCTAGCATGCCAAGAACATTAAGCAGGCTAGTGTTTCTGTTCAGTTGACCAGGCTGGTAGGGAAAAAACAAACGCCCTATAAGCAACCGTCTTGTTCCGGAGTACCTCATGCCATATCCCAGGACTACTGCCACTCGCTACCAGTTCTTAGAAAAGTGCGATCATAACCTTATAGATACATGCCTCACTTTATTGTGCTTTGCAAATATTGAGTTTTTTTTATAAATTGAAGGTTTGTGGCAACCCTGTGTTGAGCGAAGTTTTTCCCAACAGCATTTGCTTAGTCGTATTTTGTTAATTCTCAGAATGTTTCACTTTTTCATTATAATGATGTTATCATTGATGTTACTGCCAGTGCCTGAAGATGTGACTGAATTGCTACAACCTCATGAGAGAACTTTAATGGGGTTGCTCCTTATGAACAAAGAATTTGAAATGGTATCTACTCCTGGTGAAGATGCTGTGAAAGACTGTTGAAACAACAAAGAACTGAAGAATATTGCATCAACTTAGTTGATAAAGCAGTGGCAGGTTCTGAGGGGACTCCAATTTTGAAAGCTCTCTGGGTGAAGTGCTAACAGTATCATGCTACAGAGAAATCATTCTTGGCTCAGTCAATGCAGTAAACTTCATGGTCATAATTTTAAGAAATTGCCACAGTCACCCAGGCCTTCAGCAGCCACCACTCTGATCATTCAGGAGCCATCAACATGGAGGTAAGACCTTCCACCAGCCAAGATTACAACTCAAAAATGTTTAGCACTTTTGCAAGATGGTTAGCAGTTTTTGCAATAAACTTTTTAAATTAAGGTATGCATTGTCTAGACATGCTATTGCACGTAATGAATTAACGGTATAAACAGAACTTTTATATGCACTCGGAAACCAGAAAATGCCTTTGACTTTCAGTGGTTTGAAACCAAACCGGACCTCAGTGTCTCAAGAGGTATGCCTGTAATTCACACAGCTAAATTCTAGCTTTTGACGCCTAAGGTTTAGGGCTGTAGTTGAAAAGGCAGTTTGATTGTTAAATCCTGAGTACCGATCAAGAGGCCCAATGATGTTAAGGATCCCACACCTTCAGAAACTGCTGTTAAATTACCTGAAGCAGCAAGCTGGGGGAGGGTTATAAAAGGGAGACCAAAAATTATCTTCAGACATCCAAGGCTGATCGTAGAGGGATTTGTGGGTCATCCTGTCATGTTTTTGTTCAGAAGCTACCTCACAAGAACTACATACAGTGACCGTCATCCAAAAATTTACAAAGTGGGGCTAAGGATGAGTACACTTGCTCTGAGCTGCAAGGTCCTTCAATCAAAGGTCTTAGAGCCTTCCTTGGTCTGAAGCCCAAGTCTCTCCCAACCCCTCTTCCCCAGCCCCAACTGGAGCTGACAAGGCTGCTCTGGGCACCAGAGGCCTGTGCCCTAGGAAGAATTAAGTATCCTTTATAAACCCCTTCCAAATGGAGGATTCCACAGAGCATTCATCAGCACAAGAATAATCTCCATGACGGGCGCCTGGGTGGCTCAGCTGGTTAAGCGACTGCCTTCGGCTCAGGTCATGATCCTGGAGTCCCATATCGGGCTCCCTGCTCAGCGGGGAGTCTGCTTCTCCCTCTGACCCTCTTCCCTCTCATGCTATCTCGCATTCTCTCTCTCAAACAAAATCTTAAAAAAAAAAAAAAAAAAAACTCCATGACAACTTGTCAGGGTAAGAAACTGAAGAGTAAAACCAAAGAGTCAAATGCCAGATGGTAGGTTTTATGGTTTTATTAACACAAATATGATGTGCACAACAAGCTGTCTATTCATTTTCTTCGCTGCGCAGCCTGGCGTTGGGATTGGTGACTCTGATTGCCAGCTGGGCTGCTCTTTCCACAATAGCTTTGCGGTTCTTGGAGGAAACATTGTGAGCAATCTCTGCACAGTAAGATCTGGAAGAGAAGCAGTTAGTAAGAAGCAAGCCAGATGAACACACACTCCTGAGTTTCCCTGGGAGGGCAGTGGTTTTGGGTCACATCACCTCCAGAGCCACGAGGGCACTGGCAAAGCTGATGAAGAAGACCGACACAGTCCCGAATCCTAACTTTCCTAAATTCCATGGTACCAGCAGTAGGGCTCTTCAAGTATTCCCTGGCAGGGACAGAAGTACTCATTGTCCCCTCATTTAATCCTTAAAAGCAGACTTGTAATCCAGGTATTGCCTCCTCTTTACAGACAAACCATGACCCTTAAAGGTAGAAGTGAATTCCCAAGTCAGATATTTAGAAATGGACAGGGCTAGGATGGCTCAGCCCCAGATTCCAAGTTCAAACGTTCTCCCCCAATCCTTTCAGTCAATCCGCCCAACACAGGGCAGTCTCAGGGAGCTTGGACTTGCCCATCAAGTTCTTAAATTCTCTGCAAAGGAAGCAAGAGCAGAATCCAACAGTCTGATTAAGCCAAGGATTTCCTGGCCTAGACATTAACATTTTACTTGTTTGACTGCTGCAGACAAAATTCAAACTGAGAAGTAACATTGCCTGAAGTCACCCAGCAAGTAGCTATACCGAGTATTTCCCAAGTTATCTGGCTGCCAGATACTGTTCTAACCTACTCATTCTTCACAGCTGCACCAGGCCCCAGTTCGGTAACAAATTGGCCCAATGAGCACATTTCAGTGAAGTGATTTATGACACCATCAACAGCAGGTTAAGAAAAGACACTCTAGGGGCACCTGGCTGGCTCGGTTAGGTAGAGCATGTGACTCTTGATTTCAGGGTTGCAAGTTCAAGCCCCAAGTTGGGTGTAGAGCTTAAAAAAAAAAAAAAAATCTTTTAAGTATTTAAGTAAGCTCCATGCTCAACGTGGAGCTTGAACTCACGATCCTAAGATCAAGAGTCACATGCTTTACCGACTGAGCCAGCCAGGAGCCCCAAAAATAAAAATCTTAAAAAAGGACACTCTACCCCTGGAGGAATTTCAGCAGAGAAAGAAAGAAAGCTATAAGGAGTGACTAAATCAGGCAATGAACATAAGTTCTTTTTAAAAACTCTAGCAAAATAGCTTACCAGTGTGAGACAAGCAAACCCAAAGAATTTTTATCTTCTATGGAGTCCACTCAAGCTCAAAATAGCTATATATATATATATATATATATATATGTATTTTTTTTAAGATTTTTAAAATTTATTTGACAGAGAGACAGCGTGAGAGGGAACACAAACGGGGGGGAGGGAGAGGGAGAAGCGGGCCCCCCCGCTGAGCAGGGAGTGCAATGCGGGGCTCAATCCTAGAATCCTGGGATCATGACCTGAGCGGAAGGCAGACGCTTAAGGACTGAGCCACCCAGGCACCCCTCAAGATAGCTATTATTTTGAAATGTTTCCATAATCTGTTTTTCAACCCTGAAATCTCCCCCCCAAATACCGCAAGTCCTTATCCCCATGTATATTTAATAACCAATCACTATACATATCGTCTTAAATACTTACATGTCTGGGCATTTTCCCCACACATGACAATCACTTTAAATACATGTGTAACACTCCACCCAGCGCTTGTACTCCCACCATTCACAAATTATATTTTCAAATGTTCAAACTGAATCGAACAACTGATCAATTGTTTCAAAATGCTTTTCATTTAGGGATAAATATCCAGAAATAGAACTTGTGGATTTAAGGTCACAGACTTCAAATATTTCTATGGCTCCTGACACAAACTGCCAAGCTATTTAAAGAGTATCTTTGTGGCAACAAGCGACATCTGCACTGCATTTCTGCTACACAACAGGTACTGCATCTTTCTGTCATGCTTCTCCAACCACCTAATTGCAGTTTGGGCAGTCATTCCTAATTCCTATGCTCACCCAAGGATTTTCTAAGGAAAATTTCCAGCATTCCAACACCCAGTTAAATTCCCAACTTAGAAAACTCAACCACAAAGTGAGAATAATGGCTTCGTTTATTTCTATTACTTGTGTCTACAATCGCTATAGATAAAAAAGATCTTTGTAAGCAAGCACACGTAGGCGCTACAGTTAGTCACCCTTTCCATGTCCTAATTAGGAATACACAGGTTTTCAGCTTCGGTTTAGTAGAAAGGAAAGAAAATGGTCCTCTGCTTAACCAAAAAAACCCACCATTCCCTCCAATCCAGATTCAAAGCATCTAAATCACTTCCCACGTGAAATATTTTCTCATCCCACTGCCCTAGTTTTAGTCTA